TTAGTACCTACATTTAAGTAGATTTGTAGAAGATTTTCAGGGGAATTCAGGTAATTCTCAGGACATGACTGAGAAAGTGAATTTGGAAGACAACTGTATTAAATTTCGGAAAAATTATTATATGTCCTGAAAAATTTTTGTACATCTGGAAACTTTTTGGTAACCCCCCCCCCCTCTATCTAACCACACCCACACACCCCCTGCGACGAAGTGCTCGCAACGGCACTGAGTATATATCTTTTGAAAACAGGCGAGGGGTTATTGCATGCATGTATTTCTAGTCATTATTATTATCCCCGAGCCGGCGGCGCGAAGCGCCGTGCGAGGGTACTAATTCCCCCCGGCTATTTACACCCGGGGAAACGAAAGCATTAGCGGAGTCTAAAGTTCATCAAATATCGCGGGCGCATGGTTCACCGTTCATGGGTGGTCATCCTCACTGATCTCAAAATATAGCGGACTGTCGTGAATAGCGAACACTGATTGGTCAAATTTAAAATTTGTTGTTGTGATATGAACTGACGACTTCAACTGACAGATACTTCATGAAAATAATTTGCTTTTTGCACTGCAGTATCTTGTACGTTTGCAAAAAACTTTGACAGCTTTCAAAGCAATTTGCTCTATAAAGAGTTTAATAAAACAATTATGGTATCAAATACCAATTGAAAAGATATGGACTACTGTATGGAGCCAAATGAAGAGCGGCAAGGAAACGACAAGAAAGCCGAACGTCTCGCGGAAAGGAGGGAGCTAGCGAAGACGACAACGTTTGCTCGAGGAGACTGCTGAGGAAAGAGAAGCTCGCCTGGGAAAGCGTAGAGAAGCATGGAAAAAAAAGACTGCTGAAGCGAAAGGTATTAAAGCAAAGGCTTGTATTCACAACGCTATGTACCAATGATACTGTAGCTATACAATTTTCCAATAAAGAGTTTGTCATGACACGCTCAAGTCAGTATAACCATGCAGACTGTATTTTATTTATATCAGTTATCAAATACCGTCGGTGGCAACTAAGGGTGAACAGTTGCAGATAAAACATTCTCTATTCTCATTAAAAAGTCTGTAAAAGTTTCCAGTAGGTCTCTAGCCCAACAAGTTCAGACAAAGTTTTGTTACTTATTTTTATTGCACACATGGGAAACAACAATTAAGTGTTGTTGTTCTTGACAAACATTGAAGATTCTAATCACGCGAATGTGTTTATGAGCGACTGTTCATCGTTAGTTGCAAACGACGGTACAACATACTATGAACATTTTTCCGACTGTGACCGAATGTGCAACGATATATTTTTCAAAGTTGTTAACAATTCCTAAAATTTGTTTATAGTAAAACAGCCTGCTCAGCACTCACTACACACGATGATTTCATTTAGAAATGCAGTTACCAGGAGAGGAACTGATTCTAAAATATGTAAAATTAAAAGCATTGGCTATTACGATGTGAAGACAAGGTACAAACTTTTATAGTTGCTATTTGTTATAAATCCTGATCGTGACTAAAACACCACACGAGTACATACGAGTAACACACAAGTACATACGAGTAACACACAAGTACATACGAGTAACATACGAGTACATACGAGTAACATACGAGTACATACGAGTAACATACGAGTACATACGAATAACACACGAGTAACATACAAGTACACACGAGTAACATACGAGTAAATACGAGTACATACGAGTAAAATAAGAGTACATACGAGTATAATACGAGAATTAGCACGCTTTCTTTAAAGTTTCTTTCACTTTCACACTTTCACTTTGGCTTCGTATTATGTTCATGTTGTAAATGCCTTATTGACATAGGCGTACGAGACAGGGGGTGGGGGAGGGGCAACTGCCCCCCCTCAAAATTTTGGAAAACCATGGAAATTCGGGAAAACGCTAGGGAAAATCAAGAAAATTCGGGCAGATTTATGAGGAAATATGTTAAAATCAGGTTATTTCTTTACAATTCTCCATAAAAATTCAGGCAAACTTTCAACTGCCCCTCCCCTGCCCCTAGAAAACATCAGCCCCGTTCTCCTATGCGTATTGATGGATTTCGAAGCCTCGCACGACGTAGAAAAAGTAAATTCATTAATATAGAATAAAAATTTGTATGCTCTAAGACTCTAAAAAGGTTTAAATGTATTATATTGCTCACAGGTTGTCAGAGAGTTTTTGTAGTACATGAAAGTGCATGTTTACCATGTTGTTTATACGTCTGTAGTCTATGCGTTTTGCAAATTTAATACGTGAATTGTACACCGGGAAATATAAAATACTTAGGGTTCATTATTTATCGGTTGGGGGGGGGGGGAGCTGGTGGATGAATCCAAATCCGCAATATAATTGTGTATAATCTTGTCTAAGTAAGTAGATATGGCCCCAAGAACAAAGGGTTTACTTTGGGTTTTTAAATGTAAAATATATTTACTTTCAATCATCATTCGGTTTTAAAAGTAATTCGCATTATTTTAACCCATCATTTTCCATCACGAAAAATCATGTCTTTTATGCATTATACAGTCTTCGGACTTATGCAAACTCACACCCCGAAAATGCAGGAAATCGCATTTCAGGGACCCTAGATTTCAAAATATTCTGGGGAGCATGCCCCAGACCTCCCCTAAAATGGCTCACGCCTTTTACGCTGGCTACGCCACTATCTCTATACTATCTTCTTCATATCAATGCTATAAAATTTTATTGTCTCCCCAAAACACTTCTTCAAAAGATTTAAACCCCTCTTTTTACTTTACACCCATAAAATATATCCCCCCATTATTTTACCAGCCCCCGCCCCCCCAACCGATAAATAATGAACCCTAAGCATTTTATATTTCCCTGTTGAAAACGTATTAACAGGTGTACAATTGACGTATTAAATTTGCAAAACACATAGGAGAACGGGGCTGATGTTTTCTGCGGGGGGAGGGGGGGGGGGAGTTGAAAGTTTGCCCGAATTTTTATGGAGAATTGTAAAGAAATAACCTGATTTTAACATATTTTCTCATAAATCTGCTCGAATTTTCTTGATTTTTCCTAGCGTTTGCCCGAATTTCCATGGTTTTCCAAAATTTTGGGGGGCAGTTGCCCCACCCCCCCGTCTCGTACGCCTATGTCAATAAGGCATTTACAACATGAACATAATACGAAGCCAAAGTGAAAGTGTGAAAGTGAAAGAAACTTTAAAGAAAGCGTGCTAATTCTCGTATTTTACTCGTATGTACTCGTATTTTACTCGTATGTACTCGTATGTACTCGTATTTACTCGTATGTTACTCGTGTGTACTCGTATGTTACTCGTGTGTACTTGTATGTTACTCGTGTGTTACTCGTATGTACTCGTATGTTACTCGTATGTAATCGTATGTTACTCGTATGTACTCGTATGTTACTCGTATGCACTTGTATGTTCCTCGTATGTTACTCGTATGTAATCGTATGTTACTCGTATGTACTCGTATGTTTCTCGTATGTACTCGTATGTACTTGTGTGTTACTCGTGTGGTGTTTTAGTCACGATCCAAAAGAACTGCTAAAAATAGCAAACGTAAACAAAAGATATTTTAAACCGTATTTAATACGGGTTAGGATAAACTCTTTTAAAGTTTGAAAAAGAACATTTAAAGTTTGAAAAAGTTCTAAACTGTCATCTCTAGAGGTCCAGTAAGGAGCATCTCTTATTGATCCAGTGTTACTACAGGAGGAAACCTGAACAAAACTAACTTTATCTATACTGAATAGCTCTATCAGTTCTTTATAACTGTTATCTCTAGAGGTCCAGTAAGGAATATCTCTCATTGATCCAGTGTTAATACAGGAGGAAACCTAAACAAAAATAACTGTATTTATACTGCATGGACAGCTCTTTCAGTTCTAAACTGTTATCTCTAGAGGTTCAGTAAAGAGTATCTCTTATTCATTCAGAGTTACTACATGAGGAAACCTAAACTAAACTAACTTTATTTATACTGGACAGCTCTATCAGTTCTAAACTGTTCTTCCTAGAGGTCCAGTAAGGATCATCTCTTAATGATTCAGTGTTACTACAGGAGGAAACCTAAACTAAACTAACTTTATTTATACTGGACAGCTCTAGCAGTTATAAATTACTGTTCTTCCTAGAGGTCCAGTGAGGATCATGTCTTATTGATCCAGGTTTACTACAGGAGAAAACCTAACCTAAACTAGCTTATTTATACTATCAGTTCTAAACTGATTTTCCTAGAGGTCCAGTGAGGATCATCTCTTATTGATCCAGTGTTACTACAGGAGCAGGGGCGCCGGGAGCCACGGGGACAGCGGGGGCAGCTGCCCCCGTTGCCCCGTTGCCTAAACAGTGCGGGGGCAGCACGGGGGCAGCAGGTTGCCTTTTTTACCAGAACTGCACTTCGAACGTCGTGTGTTTTTCACATGAATTGAAATTGAAAACTGTTTTTAAACAATTTAGCTCATATTTGAATCTGAATTCCTTTCAGAAACGTTACCAATCAGCTTCCACCCATGAAAAAAAGGGAAAAAGAGAGCCTTCCTAAATAACTGATAACTGTCATGTTGCTTTACAATACATTTTAGTCTTTAGTGTCGTGCAACGAATAAAAATGTTCCAATCCATGCCGAAAGTTGTCTAACTGTATTAGCTACAAGTAATGAAGTATCCGTTATACAGCAAAATGTTAACGAACATTGCCCCCCCCCCAAAAAAAAAAAATAAGGCTCGATAGTAAGTGCCCTTTTTAAATGGCTGCCCCCGCCGCTTCATATTGCTTCCGGCGCCCCTGTACAGGAGGAAAGCTAAACTAAACTAACCTTATTTATACCGGACAGCTCTATCAGTTCTAAACTGTTCTCACTGGAGGTCCAATTATAGTCGTTCTCTATTGTTCCAATTTTGCCGGAGTACGGAGTTCTCAAATGCGACTGAATCAAAGCGCGATTAGAGGGCTAAAAAGCTAATGTACACACAGCACAAGCAGTAAAGCAATACGCAGAAATCAAGGGTTATATAAATGCTTTTACTAGGAAGAAATTCATTTACAAATCATCGCCGGTATTTAGATGCCTTTAGGAGGAAAGGGGTTTAGTTATTTACAAATTTCTTTCCTAACTACTTCAACGTTTTCTTCCAGATTTTCAGACGAGAAATCCAGTCCTTTATCAGCAATGTCGTGCATAATATTCTCCGTGTCCAAAACAATGACTTTGGTCCCCGCCTGGCGGATTGCTCGTGAAATCTTTCGTGCCATCGTCTTGTCCCACAGTCCGTTGTCCATGAGTAGAACCCACACATTCTTCGCGTCCGAGCGATCGTAGTGGTTCATTATCTAAACAAGGTGAGTATACGTAGATGACGTGCGTTTTAAAGGGTGGGGAGCATCCAGTTGTTATCAAAGTGAGAAAATAATGTTCGTGCCGGGTGTAGAAATATAATTTCTTACGATAATATTTAGTTAAGTGACCGCCATTATAGTATTAATTCCAGTGGTGCCTAACGTTTCGTTGTTTACAATACAAGATCTTCAGAGCAATCCAAATGAACTTACAGGGTAAATTATGATATACCATACCCTGTAAATTCATTTAGATTGCGCTGAAGATGTTCTATTGTAAACAACGAAACGGTAGCTATTAAATTTTTACTTTTATTATGTTTGGTTTTATACAGTAGTTATCTGCTGGGGCTCTGCTTTTTATCTTTAAATTTGTATTTCAGTGATTGACTTAAAAATTCGTTAAAATTAATGTAGTCATTTGCAGTATTGTGGTGTCATATAACACAAATAATGAATGTTTTCATTCGTACAATAGGAAAAATGTTTTGTTCGGTGGAAGGTAGAATTTTCCATTCCGCTCGGCTGTCGCCCCGTGGATTGGAAAATTCAATCTTTTACCAATGAAAATATTTTTGCCATTACACTCATAAACATTCATTATTTGTAATTTCTACAGCTATAAATATGTTAAAAAAACTAGATCTCTAAAATCATACTGTCTGTCACTATAATACAGTATTTACAAGATTCTGTGGCAAGTTGACCAATAAAATGTTCCTGAAAATTTTACACCTTACCTGTTGAGCCAGATTCATAGCATATCCGCCGAATGTATAAGCTCCATAATGGTATCTAACTTTCGAAATCGCATTTTGTACGGCTGCTAATGTCTGATGCTCTGTGAAATAGAATTCGAGGCCAGTTCTTGGCTTGGTCGAGTACTGCAGGACGCCGACATGTGTGGTGTTCTGGCCAATATCAAATTTTTCCACCAAAAGTGACATGAATTTCTTGAATTCTCCGAAAGTGGCCACAGGAACGCTGCCAGAACCGTCAACTAGGAACATTATGTTCCTTTTCGCTACCATGCATGGGTCGGGAGGCGGAGTTGTCGGAGCTAAATAACGAAAAGCAATTAAAATAAACCGAACTAACTTTATTTACGCTGGATAGCTCTATCAGTTCTAAACTGTTCTTCCTATGGAGGTCCAGTAAGATCATCTCTTATTGATCCAGTGTTACTACAGGAGGAAACCTAAACTAACTTTATTTATACTTGATAGCTCTATCAGTTCTAAACTGTTCTTCCTATGGAGGTCCAGTAAGGATCATCTCTTATTGATCCAGTGTTACTACAGGAGGAAACCTAAACTAAACTAACTTTATTTACGCTGGATAGCTCTATCAGTTCCAAACTGTTCTTCCTATGGAGGTCCAGTAAGGATCATCTCTTATTGATCCAGTGTTACTACAGGAGGAAACCTAAACTAAACTAACTTTATTTATACTGGATAGCTATATCAGTTCTAAACTGTTCTTCCTATGGAGGTCCAGTAAGGATCATCTCTTATTGATTCAGTGTTACTACAGGAGGAAACCTAAACTAAACTAACTTTATTTACGCTGGATAGCTCTATCAGTTCTAAATTGTTCTTCCTAGAGGTCCAGCAAGGATCATCTCTTATTGATCCAGTGTTACTACAGGAGGAAACCTAAACTAAACTAACTTTATGTACACTTGATAGCTCTATCAGTTCTAAGCTGTTCTTCCTAGATCGAGGTCCAGTAAGGATTATCTCTTATTGATCCAGTGTTACTACAGGAGGAAACCTAAACTAAACTAACTTTATTTATAATTGATAGCTCTATCAGTTCTAAGCTGTTCTTCCTAGATCGAGGTCCTGTGAGGGACATCTCTTAATTATTGATTCAGAGTTTATACCGCGGTAGGAAACCTAAACTAAAGTAACTTTTTGTATGTTTGCATGGCGATAAAACACATAATAGTTTTGTTTGTGGAAACACGACGTAAATTTATTACTGCAAAGCTTTCGATCCGTAAGCCCGGATCTTCATCAGTGCTAAGCACTATGAAGCACTATTAGCACTGATGAAGATCCGGGCTTACGGATCGAAAGCTTTGCAGTAATAAATTTACGTCGTGTTTCCACAAACAAAACTATTATAAACCAACGGAACGCCATGTCTGTCTATTCTTTCCAATCGAATCTTAAAAAGCATTTAATTTTCGATAATTTGTCCGATGATTGTAACTAAATAGTATCTAATTTACATCTAGGTGTGTGGATCTAAGTATCTTCGTTTTGATATTATGTGTGCATGTGTCCTTGTATTATATTAGTTTCCTTATTTCCCCGTCTGCTCACTATTCTACCTCATATATATTTAGATAACTTATTCTTTAATATTTCACATGAGGTAGTCTAGCAATTAATAAGCCTTGGCTCCTAGTTGGACTACTTCGTCACAAATGTTTTCATTTCTTGTCTCTTCTGTCTTATTACTTTTGTAAATTGTTGTATCAACCAATTGTGGCAAATTAATAAATTCAAATTCAAACTTTATTTATACTGAATAACTCTATCAGTTGTAAACTGTTCTTCCCAGAGGTCCAGTAAGAGTCATCTCTGATTAATCCAGTGTTACTATAGAAGGAAAGCTAAACTAAACTAACTTTATTTATACTGGATAACTCTACCAGTTGTAAACTTTTCTTCCCAGAGGTCCAGTAATAGTCATCTTTTATTGATTCAGAGTCACAACAGGAGGAAACCCAGGGGCGCCGTAAGCAACATGAAGCGGCGGGGGCAGCCATTTAAAAAGGGCACTTACTATCGAGCCTTATTTTTTTTTTTGGGGGGGGGGCAATGTTCGTTAACATTTTGCTGTATAACGGATACTTCATTACTTGTAGCTAATACAGTTAGACAACTTTCGGCATGGATTGGAACATTTTTATTCGTTGCACGACACTAAAGACTAAAATGTATTGTAAAGCAACATGACAGTTATCAGTTATTTAGGAAGGCTCTCTTTTTCCCTTTTTTTCATGGGTGGAAGCTGATTGGTAACGTTTCTGAGAGGAATTCAGATTCAAATATGAGCTAAATTGTTTAAAAACAGTTTTCAATTTCAATTCATGTGAAAAACGCACGACGTTCGAAGTGCAGTTCTGGTAAAAAAGGCAACCTGCTGCCCCCGTGCTACCCCCGCACTGTTTAGGCAACGGGGGCAGCTGCCCCCGTGGCTCCGGCGCCCCTGAGGAAACCCAAACTAAAATAAATTTATTTATACTTGATAACTCTATCAGTTGTAAACTGTTCTTCCCAGAGGTCGAGTACGGAGCATCTCTTATTGATCCAGTGTTACAGGAGGAAACCAAAACAAAACTAACTATGCGAGAAGCGCTAATTCAGCGTGATGTTTAAAAGCATTACACAAAGTATACCTGTCACAACAGTTAATACTGCTGGTGAAGATATGCCACCAAATTCATTTTCGGCCACACACTGATAGAGACCTTCATCATCCATTGATACTGACTTGAATGTAATTACGCCACCATTTATCTCATATTTATCACTAAATTACAAATTATATAAATTATATAACTTTCCAAAAACTCGGACTTGTTGGAACAACCTTGTAACAAGTCTGATAATATCAACAAGCTTTTTACAGGCTGATAACAACTTGTAACAAGCTTTAATCGCATTATTGCGCTTGTTACCATGTTGTTTTAACAAGCCGAATACAATCATGATATAACAAGAATGTTACAAGGTTGACGAGACAAGGTTGTAACAATATTGTTATACCATGACTGTATCGGATTTGTTGGAACAACTTTGCAACAAGTCTGATAATATCAACAACTTTGGAACAAGCTGTTAACAACTTGTAACAAACTTGATAGCATTATCAGACTTGCTACAAGGTTGTTTTAACAAGTCTGATACAATCGTGATATAACAAGAAGGTTATAAATAAGGGTTACAAGGTTGACAAAACAAGGTTGTAACAATATTGTTATATCATGACTGTATGATCAAACGAGCTATTGGATCAACCTGGCTACAAGTCTGATAATATCAACAAGCTTGTTTCAAACTTGTTGACAACTTGGGACAAGCAGTGCGAACACAACCTGTTGACGGCTTGTTGGCAGACTTGCTACAAGATGTAAGACTTCTACGCGTTTAGAAGACACCCAGCTTTCACCTCGTGTGTTATATCTGATAAAGCACTCTGTTTTTAATGCTCGTATTTTTAATAGTATCTAAAATATAAATCTAAAGTAACACTCACGATTTAGGTAGTTTCTCTCCGTTCTTAATCCATGTATATGTCGGATCAGGATTTCCGTACGCATGGCACAACCAGAGGAATCTGACGCCCTCCTGAGCCGTTGCATCGGATAGCTGGCCACCATAAGCCCATTTGGGTTTGCCTGGGAATGAGTGTTAGTGAGATTGTGGTTATATTTAGTTTAGTTTAAGCCTTCCCTCTTTCACGAAAACTAACTTTGATTTCGGAACAGACCGACACCCAGTAAAGATGACGTCTTATTGAATCAGTGTTGCTACAGGAGGAAATCTAAACTACACTAATTTTATATATTGTTATACTGGATAGTTTCATCAGTGCTAAACTGTTCTTCACAGAGGTCCAGTAAGCTTTATCTCTTATTGATCCAGTGTTAGCCTCTGCAAGAGGAAACTCAAACTACTGTAAATTAACTTGAGTTGACTGGGTAGCTCTATCAGTTCTAATATATCTGTTCTTCCTAGAGGCCCAGTAAGGATCATCTCTTATTGATCCATGCAGGGTTACTACAGGAAGAATTCTAAATTTACTAAACTAACTTTATTTATACTGGATAGCTCTATTAGTTCTAAACTGTTCTCCCTAGAGGTCCTGTAAGGATAATCTCTTATTTATCCAGTGTTTCTACAAGAAGAAAGCTAAACTAAACTAAATTTATTTATACTGGATAGTTTTATTAGTTCTAAACTGTTTTTCCTATAGGTCCAGTAAGGATCATCTCTTATTTATCCAGTGTCACTACTGCTCTATCAAATCCAAACTGTTCTCCGTAGAGGCCCGATAAGGATCATCTCTTATTGGCCCAGTGTTACCACAGAAGGAACGCTAAACTAAAGTAACATTTTTTATACTGAATGGCTGCACCAGGTTTAAATTTTAAACGGTTTTGAGAAATTTTAGTTAGCTAGACTACAAAAAATTTTGCAAACCTTTGACGAAAAGTCGGGCTGTTTTCTCGTCGACATGTGCTTGGCCACTGTAATTACTGCTGACTCTGCATTTGTACCAGCCATCGTGTTTTGGCTCAACTGTTGTTATCATCAGCAAGTGATTATAGTCTTGAAGCTCGTATCCATTTTCGCCGCTTGTGATTGGAGTCTCTACGCCGTTCAAGCCTTTGAATGTCCACGAATAAGCTGGTGTTGGCCTGAAAGGGGATAGAATTAATATAATCAGTGCACGAGTCTGTGATTTTTGCAATATACTATGCAGTCCTCTGATTAAACTTGCGCCTCGATCGTTTGTGGGAAGAGTGCTTCCAGTTTGACTTCAGCAAACCTTGCAGAATTTCTTCTGGTACTCCGGCTGCCCCCTGTAGTAACATTGGATCAACACGAGATGATCCTTACTGGACCTCTAGGGAGAACAGTTTGGAACTGATAGAGCTATCCAGTATAAATAAAGTTAGTTTAGTTTAGGTTGCCAATTATTTTATATTACAACAATTTAGAACTGATAAATGTAATGTATATGTCAACTAGTGTGAAATAAATTAAACTAGAGTTTTCCAGTATAAATAATTAAAGTTACTGTAGTTTACTTCATGTTTGAAGTAGTAATACTGAATCAATAAGACATGATCCTTACTGGACCTCTAGGGAGAACAATTTGGAAGTGCTATCCAGCATAAATAAAGTTAGTTTAGTTTAGGTTTCCTCCTGTAGTAACACTGGATCAGTAAGGGATGATTCTTACTGGACCTCTAGGAAGAATAGTTTAGAACTGATAGAGCTATCCTGTATAAATATAGTTAGTTTAATTTAGGATTCCTCCTGTAGTAACACTGGATCAATGAGACATAATCCTTACTGGACCTCCAGGGACTGGGAGTACAATTTAGAACTGTTGGAGCTACAGTCTCACAGATTAGTTTATTCCTAATTACAACCTTTACTGGACCACTGGGAAGAACAGTTTATAACTAATAGAGCTTTTCTGGCAGTACGGTATAAATAAGTTAGTGTCCTGTACTTGTTAATTTCACATTTAGCTAACTTACAAACCAACAGCTCCGCAACGCAAAACAACAAACTCCTCGCCTTTGACCACCTCTCGATCTTCTAACTTTGTTTTGATGGTTGGTCCAAAAGGATTTTCGTTCTTCTCTGAAAAGACAAAACAAAATGAAATAAAAGCTAGAACCGGTAAAAAGTAGTAAATGTTACTGTTAGTTTTTCGATTTAGCCTTAGCCAGTGAGATCGTAATCTCAGATCGCAAAGCCAACTATGTCTCGCAATTTTGTTGCGGCACAAGTTGCACGCGAAATTGCAAGATGATCATGCCTCGCAATCAACAAGTCTCGCGATATTTTTGTTGCAACAACCGTTGCACGAAGTAAAATCAGGTTCTACTTTTTGCAACGATTGCGGCAACGCTGCAAGCATTTTTAAAGCATGCACAGTGTAGCATCCCACTTGCAACTACAGTAGTTTGCAATGTTTATACACTGAATGGCTTCGTATTGTCTTTTGACTGACAATATGGCGGCAAACGTTTGCACTCGCGATTTTTATACTATTTTTAATGATGATCATTGAAAGTTGCATGGAATATATTGCTTGGTGTAACATCCCTTGCAATGCAATCCTGAAATCGTTTTTCTCAACATTGCGAGACAAGTTCCGAGACAAGTTGCTTAGTGTAACAGCGCCTTAATTAAGTTCTACCGTACTTAGTCCTCAGCTCCCCATGCAGGCTTGATTTGGAATTGAACCTGCGGCCCTGTGATTCTGATGCAGCGCTCTAACCAACTGAGTTACAGAGAGACTCGCAACTGTTCCTGATTAGATTTAATAAATGTCAGTACAAAAAATCCACTCGCAATTTCCATTTAGATCATTTACAAATCCGTGTGAAAAAATACGGTAATAAACGATCTTTTTATTCACAAATTGTAGCTAGTACAACAACTATAATAAGCAGAATATGTGATTTTGCATCCTCAGGCTCAACAAATCGAATCACAATTCATCACTGCGAAATTCTGACCATTGTAAACAGTACAATGAAATACGGGTAAATATCACATTGTTGAAACACGACTACAATAAAGTGACTTCCACGAGTATTGTTATGTATTGACGGCAAAATACAGTTGAATTAGCTGCCAAATGATATGCAATTAAACCTACAATAGCAAACACCTACGCACTCGGGATTCAGCATGCAAATTAGTCGTGGCCACCGGTCTCGTGGTTCAAAGCTTAACACAGATGCAAGATTTATTGCATGCACAATATTTCGATCGTTTCAAGCGAGATGTTCATGGCAAAAGTGTTGTTAATGATAAAGCAAAAAGAGGAATTAAGGTTTACAGATTTTTGAGCTTACATTTATAAAGTGTTAGATGTCAGTAATTTAAGTAGTTTTACGTTTGCTGTGTTAAAATAATGACTAATGTACATTGAACAGTTATTTTCAAAACTAACGAACTTTGGTTTTTGTTTGGGTGCCCCAAGACGGGGGGGGGGACCTAGATTCTTTTGAAATATACCCAGTGGCGCCGTGGCCGGGGGGTCCATGGCCACCTATTGTTTGTTAAGACCTGTCGGAAAACTGGAAATTTTGTTTGACAATGCGAAACATGTTTGAATAAAAAAATATATAAATGAAATGTTGGAATTTGGACTCAGTTTACGTTTCCCAGTATACGTTTATAGAATATAGAATATTTATGCCGGAAAAATTGTGTTTGTCGGAAAAATGCTGCCCTTGCCCCCCTCCCCCCCCTCTAAAACATGGGACCCACGACGCCTCTGAGTATACCATGAAGCTCTGACAATACGAATATTTTGCTAGTCGTTTAGAAGCCAATTTTACTGGGCTTCTTAATTTAAAACTGGAAATATAAATATATACAGTAGCAAAATACAAAAAAAAAACACAATTATAAAATAACACTATGCAGAAATTGTTTTTGACAATGAAATGTTTGCCACAGTACTTATGCACATACAACCTTCTGAAAAAACTTCTTGAGTGATCAAATCATTAGCATAGTCACCTGGGGTTTTAAACTCGGAACACAAGTCAAACTTGTAAGCAAGGGTGGGCAGTAGCGAAGTAGTTGTAGTTCGCTACTGTAGCGAACTACAATTTTCAAGTAGCCAGTAGTTTTTGACTACTTTTTTAAAAACAGTAGCTGTAGTTATAGCGAACTACATTTTGCCTAAAAGTAGCCAAGTAGTTGACTACTTTTCAAACAGCGAATCGCTATTCGCTACTTTTCAAAATTGTTAGCAACTTGATAGAATAGCATGATATTGAGACATGGTTTGCTTAAAATCAATACTCAATAGTCAATTTGCACGCCTGAACACTGTAGTGCTTACAAAAATGTTGCTTTGTGTTTACTGTTGCTACTCGTAAGTCGATTTGTTATAGGTTACATTTCAGCCTGGGTTAGTAGATGCTCTAAATACAGTAAAACTAAAAAATATGGCGTAGCGCGAAAATAGCGAAATAGTTCGCTACATTTTTTAAGCAGTAGCTGTAGTCAGTAGCGAACTACCTTTGTTCAAGAGTAGCAGTAGTTGTAGCTGACTACATATTTTTGAAGTAGCTGTAGTTATAGCGAACTACAAACATTTTGTAGTCAACCCACCCTTGCTTGTAAGTAGAAATCAGATCACTGGCAGCACAACAGACTTTAATAGCTGTCATCTTCAATATGCCCTTTGGTACCAAAAAATTGAATGTCTTGGCAACAAAGGTCTGACCTTTGAACTCCCTTTGCGTCCCCGGTTCCGCGGCCCCTGACCTTGTCAATAAATTTAAAGAACACTTCGACACGGAATTTCTTCTCTGCGTCAGCGATGGGTTCATCTCTTGCTTCCTCGTCAAAAAATCTACGAATTTTCATTGCCTTCTTTTCAATAAAAAAATATACAGGAATGCCAACTTTAAGAGCAAACACTGTATAGATTCTCTTAGAATACAAAACAAGTGAAACTCCAAAAATCGATAACATTTTTATTTATCTACGTTTCGACTATATTTCAGTCATCATCAGGATAAACTAGCTAGGTTATATATCAAAAGCGGTATTTATATGAAGAAATATGATACAATAGTTTTACCGCTTTTGATATTTCTTCATATAAATACCGCTTTTGATATATAACCTAGCTAGTTTATCCTGATGATGACTGAAATATAGTCGAAACGTAGATAAATAAAAATGTTATCGATTTTTGGAGTTTCACTTGTTTTGTATTTTATTAAAATACTCAGTGGTTCTAAAAATTCTCTTAGAATTTCATTCCATTTGCCTCTCATTTCTCTAACACTATTCAACGCTCTCCCCAATTCGCTGGCAGATTTTCCAAGATCCATGTCAACTGCTTGAAGGTCTTTGGATGCTAAATTTATTGAAGAAAGGATTCATTCCCAAGTGTTCAGCAAAATGACGAATTCCATAGTGCTTATATGTTTGAGTAGATTTGGGCCTCTTGCTTTTCTTTATTTTCAGAATCTTTGATGTATGCTCTCAACAGTTGAATGATATCACCAAATCTGTTCTTAGTTGCCCTGATTGCATCAATTCGCGAAGACAAGCGAGTTGAACAAAGTCTTGGCTTTCTATTTGCCTTAACTTACACATTCGACTAACCCGATTCCAATGACGTGGCCTTACAAACATTATGTAAGCAACGACATACTCGATTCTATATACCTACAGTATATGTTCGTCAACATTCCTTCGATATAGACTCGTCAACATTCCTTCGATATAGACTAACGTAAATATGTCCAATCGTCGCGCGCTATATCATTAATTACTATATTTTTCTAATACGTATAAAATGTTAAAAATAAAAAGCTAAAATAAAAAGTCTATGAAGATTTCTAGTAGGTCTCTAGCCCAATATCTTCAAATTATTGTAATATATTTTAAGTAGATTTTTATACATGGGAAAAAAAAAATAAAAAAAACGTTTGATCAAACTGATATGTCGTGTTTAAATATTACGTTACACGATATAAAACAGACCCCGTGCGCTAATATTAACCACAATGACCCTTGTACAAGCTGTGATTATAAAAACAACGACATATTCGATTCTATATGCGTTGGAAATGACTATCGACCTAACAAAACATATTACAATAAATACTTTACTAAGAATTTATACACATCTCTGTACGGTATGAGCGTTAGTGAACTTAGCCTGTGGTCTATAGACGGTTCGTATTTCAAGGATAAAAGGAACCGCGCAGCAGGACACCACGGAGAAGGGTTGGCCCGTATGGGCCACCGTACCCTTGAGACCTTGTACTGCCTCAGCACTGAAATGTTTTTTGACAACGATAATTTACCACGGACACGAAGGCTACAGAGCCACAGAGAAACGGAAGATCGCGCTTCAGTCTCTCACATAGTGGTTAGCTGCGCATGCGCGGCTACCCACAAAAAACTGTTTAAATGTCTTATATGTAAGTTTTTGTAAGCTTTCTGATAATGCAAGTAATTTTTGTTGTAACTGAATACAAAAATTTACATTTTCTTGCTGTAATACAATTTAATAGAGGATAATCACTGATCACCCATTTTCTCGGTGTTGGGGGCAAGTTTTTTGCTTGGGAACTTTTTGTGGTAATTAAGCATCTATGGTTCTATGAATTGAACCACAGCAAATCTATTTCCCAGGAGGGTGCCACGAAATTGCTTTTCTAGACACTTTTTCGCACAACAGCCCACGGCCTATACAGGGTGTATAAAAAAAACTGAACAGATTTAAAAGTGCTCTCAATTTCGCAAAACAGCTATCTGTATCCGGTTTTTTATATATATAGCCTCTGTGGGTACTTATAATGTAGAATAATGAGAAAAATTTCTCGAACTCAAATTTTGTGAACCAGGGGGGTGTGTCTTTTCCAACAAACTAAAAATGGCTCGCGCACAAAATTTAAAAGCTGCAATCATATTTTGAGTTAATAGATGGAAAATTTGTCGGGATTTTAATTACTGTACAAAATTTCAGACAATTTGGTTTAGTTTAAGCCCCTTAACTATTCACGCAAAATTACAATTTTCCCGAAAAATCAGCTATTTGCATGCTTAATTATGCATTTGCCTAATTTGCATATGTCAGCAATATGCAAATTAGGTAAAGGCATTAATTAAGCATGCGAAAGGCTGACTTTTTAGAACAAAATGAATAGTTAAAGGGCTTAAACTAAACCAAATTGTCTGAAATTTTGTACAGTAATTAAAAACCCGACAAATTTTCAATCTATTAACTCAAAATATGATTAAAGCTTTTAAATTTTGTGCGCGAGCCATTTTTAGTTTGTTGGAAAAGACACCCCCCCCCTGGTTCACAAAATTTGAGTTCGAGAAATTTTTTTTATTATTTTACATTATAAGTACCCAAAGAAGCTATATATATAAAAAAAACAGATACAAATAGGTGTTTTGCGAAATTGAGAGCAATTTCAAATCTGTTCAGTTTTTTTTTATACACCCTGTATGTATATATTGACTGCTTTTCCTTAGACGGCAACCATACGAAGCACTACGCTGATCACAAATTATAATAAGATTTCTAAAGACCTCTAACCGGCTAAAGTTAAGTTTATCCCGCGCGGCACACACACGAGCCATCAGACTGACATTAATTGTCATTGATGTTGCAGAAACTTATACAAATACGAGAGTTATTCGTACAACAATCCTTCAGTCCCAACAAGTAAGCAGTGGTGTAGTGGAGGGGGCGGGGGCCCCCCTTGTTAAAATTTCATGTTGACTTGGGTCAGCCCCCCTATAATTTTTGCACGTAGCATTAAAACGAGAATGTTCTGCAAATAATTACTTTACTTGGAAGGACAACTGTCTGGCCAAGCCAAAAATATATTGGTCGGACATTTATCAATTTTTCTCGGACGAGGGATAAAGTAATTTTTTTTATATTGTGTTTTAAATTAGCACGATGTTTTTTTGCCTGGTCATGTTAGTCCATACTGCAATGCATCTAAAACTTAGTATATGCCTACCAGTCCTAATGCATCAGTAAATTATATTTCAGGTTTGAATACATAACTTTAATTTCTACCATGTGTTATATACGAAGGTGATGTAGATATTATAATTAAATATTACGGCTTAATGCAGCGAAAAAAAACAGGAGTGCTGTCTATATTACTTTCTTATTGGTTTCATTAATAAAAATTGAGATTGGAGATTTGACCAGCCTAAATCGGTCTGTCACATGTCCGGTTATAAAAAGCTTTCATCGGACAAAATGTAAAATTTGGCCGGGCGATGTCCGATGACCGGCACTACTTTGCAAGTCTGTTCTTTGGAATTGCATGGGGGGGGGTGGGGGGGTGAATAGGTTTTCGGATCGTCGGATTTCACAGAAAAAATTGTTCGGATTACGGATCTGGCGAATATTTTACACGGATTTGCGGATCTTATTAATACAGTGGATTGTGGATTTATCTAATATTTTGGCTCGGATTGTGGATTTAGCTTGCAATTTAGTTCGGATCCTGGATTGTGACTTCATAGTAGAGCTTTTAGCGCATTCAAATTTAGACAAGGCCTTTGTCGGATCGCGGATTTTGCTTCAAATTTGGGCGGATCGGCGGATTTGTATACCCCTATTCACCCCCCTTGCATCCACATGAAGTGGTACAGAAACCTTGAATTACATACCCTTCTGAGACGCTCAGAATATATTATATTACTAACGGCAATTGTTTTAATAAACATAATTTTGAATGTTTGTCCCACAAATATTAGAAAAAAAACAAAAAAAATTAGAATTTCCAAAATATCATATTGTATACACCGTACCCCCTCTAATTCAGGACACTTTTGGAGAGCAGGGACAAAACTATTCGGGGGGGATGACGCCCTCCAGTCTCTGTCTCATCGGGAATATCTATTCAACTTCGTTGGGCAAAGTTGTAAATATTTGAGTGTCTCAGATTGAAAAGTGATAGTGGTGGGACAAATTTTGATAAATTTGCGAAAAATTTTTTACCACCACCACACTCCCCAGCCAACAATTTTGGAAAAAAAATAGTAATTAGAGACTGAAATGTTCGTAAGTCAGGAACGATTTCGGAAACGCCCTTTTGGTCGGGCAAAACAAGCTCACAGCCTGCCAGCCGTAATACTGAAGTTTCGCCCCTGTTGGAGAGCGCCCCTGTTGGAGAGTGCCCTTTGTTAACATTCCATCACAACACCACTGGGCAAAAATACAATACGCACGTGACGGTGAAAGACTTATCATGGTGTTCCAGACAAAAGAGTCTAATTAGAATTCTTTTGAATTGGAACACCAACATGGCGGTTGTGACGTCATGTGCAAGTTATATTTCGGATATTTGAAGTTGTGGTCAATGCTCAGCAACTAACCAGAATCGCAGACCTGTAGGTATATGTACAGATTCTCTGTAGCTCAGTTGGTTAGAGCTCGACAACTGTCTCTCTGTAGCTCAGTTGGTTAGAGCTCGACAACTGTCTCTCTGTAGCTCAGTTGGTTAGATCTCTACAACTGCCTCTCTGTAGCTCAGTTGGTTAGAGCTCTACAACTGTCTCTCTGTAGCTCAGTTGGTTAGAGCTCGACAACTATCTCTCTGTAGCTCAGTTGGTTAGAGCTCGACAACTGTCTCTCTGTAGCTCAGTTGGTTAGAGCTCTACAACTGTCTCTCTGTAGCTCAGTTGGTTAGAGCTCG